ATAACAAATGCAGAACCAGGAGGGTTTGGGCACTGGGAGTTATAATTTAATACTAAACTATTTATTAATGTATCCAAAACAAAGTATAATGATTTGGCCAACTTGGCCTGCGTTAAATCTTTGTACTCATTTTTGTGAAGGGCAAAAATGTGTTTCTCCAAGTTTGATGAATGCTTGCCAGATATATACTTGGTACATCCCACTACATTACATTTACTACTGTTTTTATATATATCATACGTAAAATACATTTCAAGAACCGGGTTCTTCATTTTTAATTTCCGTGTATAATATAATATGTGGTTATTCTTTAAATAATTTAAATCTTAACCACTTTAAACACTTTAAACAACAACTTCAAAATAATATCATTGACCAATGTATAAAATATAAATTGTGACAGACGAGTAGACGACAGTATTAAAATATCGTAAATACTAAATACTAAATGGACTAAGCCCCTATTCCACCAACTATTTCGTAATAGCCAATAGGAATCAGCGCGCGAGGACGGCGGTCGACGACGATGTTTATGATGGTATTTAATATTTATAATATATAGTTATACAATTATACCTATATATATGTGATATTCATAACAGATAAGCAATACTCGACGGCAATTAATTGGGGAAAAAAATTTAAAAATAGCTGGGAAATTAAATTCAACATTGTAATCATGACATAACTCAAGTATTAAATTCCACAAAAAAACCGTTAATTTTTTGGTCGGGAATAGGTTTTGGTTATAAAACCGGGATTGAAAATACGAGGTAACCGCTTTGATGTTAATATTTAGATATTTACCATGATTACCGATAACCAATAACCGCTTCCAGCATTCCAAAACTAAAAGCGGTTATCGGTTTTCGGTTCTCAAATTTACGGTTTTTTACCGGTTTTCGCTACAAACCGGTTACCGGTTTTAAGCCCTGAACCTAAGAAATATATTACGGCATTATTATTAACCTACAGGTTAGAAGATACTAACAATTTTAATTGTAATTTTAATGTTTCATTAATTTTAATGTTTTAATATTATAATACAAATCATGGTTCGTAAAAGTTGGGTTAATATTTAGTACAGTTATAGCTTTATTCTTTTACTTTCTACGTCTCCAATTCACTCACTAATCATGATGAAAATCGGACTTTCTTCCACATCGTTGCATGGCGCAAGCTAATTTGGATTGGACCCCTCTTTTTCTTATTAATAAATTTTATTTTATCCAACGCCGTTTGACCTTTACCTACTTATTACTTGTCACAGCTTATAATTGTATTAGGTAAACTTGTTTGTTACTATACTATTGAAATGTTGTACGGGGTATATAATTGTCGTCATATTTCTTAAAGTTAAGTGGTTTCTTCGTTTTTTTTAATTTGTTTTATATTGCTGTTGTCCGTATTGTTGTTGATTACCGTTGAGGATTACACATATTATATACTTTAGTTTTAACGCGATATTCGACCTGCTTATGCTTAGTAATAATATCATGGTATGTATACATGTTGTACTAAAGTAATTTTAAGTTGCCTAAACCCGAAGTTCTCGAACAACGCCAGTATTGGAACTACCTATACGTAATATACGTGTCTACGAAACCTTTCTTTGTAAACCATTAAATGGAGAAACCGTCCAAGTGATTTAAAAATCATGGTTTAAAGTCCATGCAAACATGTGCAATATTCTTTCACGCGTACACATATAACTAGGTATGTACTTACATAAAACATGCACGATACCGGATACACCCATATACATAACATAATATGTGATTTTTATTGAATTTCAACGATATACTACTACAGTATTGTTGCATATATATATATATATACCATATAGGGACTATGCTTCAATTTATACTTTTGTACCTCGTAAAGTCCAACTATGAAACTCGATGATTATATTAATAGCTAGAAATATCAATTAACATACGTATTAAAATAAATTATTGTACTTACTAGGTCAAATTAGGAAATGCTTTGAGGGGCTGGCTTCGGGAGTTTTTAGGTGAGCTAAGCATCCCTAAGCTCCCCCCTAATGTTCATGGCGTGTTGTGGGTTAAATGTTTGACAGAATATGTTTTCACGCGATGAATAAATAATAATATTACTCTAATAATAATAATAATAATAGTTTTACGGCTACCAACTACTATCGTTATGATGTTTATAAAAAACCGATGTTGAAATGATAACGATGGTTGTTATGCAATAGAGTTATATTTTATTTATTAAATATTTTATTTGACAACGAACGCGCTCATTGCATACATAATGCAATTAAACGTTTAAAGCCAGGCTCAAATGGTTAAATAAAAGTTAAAACACGGTATTTTATTGTTATCGTGTAAGATGCTATCATGAGCGTGTCAGGACAATGGTAACCATCAAACAGTCGCAAAAATGACTATCATAGTCATAGTGTCATGCTTTCGATTGCGTTATAAAAATATACAGTTGGTACCCGTCATGATATTGTTGACCAGGGTACCATTCATTACACTTGAGATCGATTGAGATTCGATGAAATCGGATTTTCTAACATCGTGACATATTGCATGTATTTTTTTTTTTCACCTACCGAGGCATTCGATTTACGTTAGCTGTAAAATGTAACGGATAAATTTAAAATTCGTACGTGCGGTTTACCGTGACGAAATTCGTTCTCAAAAATCGTCGGTAAAAAACGAGACAACAATATAATACTTTACACCATATTTGGCCATATTTCTTTATAATTGTTGGTATATCTTTTTTATTTTATGACAAAATATGTTCAAACAAAATCGATTTTTATTAACTATATACGGTGACCGGTCAAAATATCTTTCCTCAAAAATATCTCCGGTCAAAATCTCTCCGACAAAATATCACCACTTTAAAATATCTCCAGTACAAAATATCTCAGATTTAAAATATCTCCGGTACAAAATATTTCCGATTTAAAATATCTTTAATACAAATTTCTCCCATGAAAATATTTTAATATTTAAAAATATGTTATTGTAATCATAATATGTTATTTTTAAAGTAACATGTTATTATTATTATTTATTACAAGGATAATACAGTGATTTTTAAGTGTATACAATAATATTTGTCACAAAAACTTTGAAATTTTAGAAATTTTAGATATCAGTATTATTATAAAATACAATATAATAATATATTTTTTACCAATAATATTCTTTATATTTTGCATTAAAGATATTTTTAACAGGAGATACTTTGTACCCGAGATATTTTGTACTGGAGATATTTTGACCGGAGAAATTTTTGCGGAGATATTTTGACCTGGAACCACTCTATACTGATTATAGTCTATAGAATAATTCATTCTTTTCATCCAATTTAATTCTCAAAACTACTAATATCCATACTAATAAACGCAGGTGGAATAGCAAACTGCCTAAAGTATATTATGCAGATAAAATAATACAACCATGTCTCAAAAAAAGGAATTATATCTTTAATTTATAGTTATTAGGTAATAAATAACTATGAGTTGATAATAAATTATAGATACATTGGTATTAGCCATTTGGTATTAAATAAATGTTTTTTTTTTATTTGTTATAAATTATAATTATTCTCTGGTTCTGCTAAAAAAGATTGTTTCAGTAAATGTATTGGGGATGTGGAGGTGGCACAGCCCGCATAGCTATAAAATACGTACCCTATCAAATATTTAAAAACTCCCCCCCCCCTCCCTAATATTTTCTACGAGATCTGCGTCCATGCAGTTAGCTCCGGCTTTCAGAAAGCTTAAATATTATATTCCAGCTCTTTACATATTGTATATATAAATACCGATCGTACCTATATAAAGTACATCACGGACACACAATATGCTACATACTGTGAATTTAGAGTAGCCTGCGGGGAATCTCAAAGCTGATTTTAAGTGCAAGCAGTCTCACGAACGAGAGGAAATAAAACGATTTACGCGCGCACTACCCTATAAACAATATATTATCATCGCATTAGACACCCGCAGTACGTATTTAATATTTTAACAATATGTTTATCATAAACAGTTTATGTTTGCAGATCTTATAAGACGGCGTAACATCGGCTAGAGAGTGGGATGAATATGGGTCGATGGATGGGTGGGTACAACATTGGGATTTAGACATTTCCATTTTCAAAGATTTCAAACAAAATTTCAAAGTGTACAGTAATACATAATAGAATATCATATATTTTAATAATATACGGCCACATATTTATAGGGTGAGCGGAAATTCGAAATTGTCTGACGCCACTGAAGCCTATGAACGTCGTATTAATTACTGTACCTACTTATAAGTACCCATATATATATATATATATATATATAGAGAGAGAGAGTCGGCTACCAATGTAGCTATCAACCTTTTCATGTTCTCGCAGTGCCACAAAACAGTTTTAGAATGTTCAAGCGCAACACTTCAAAAACTATCCATTTAGAATACAAATAAATAGATGACTACATAGATTAAACGCTTTTATTGTTAGGTGCATAATAATAATTATTCGGAAAAGTTATGTTTATGACTATTATACTCAATATTAAAAAATCAAATATTTTTCTCGACTATTTTTTTCTGTAAATTATCAAAACACTTCGATTACAAAAGAAACCACGAATTGAAAAATGTAAATGTCTGCACTAACCTATAATGATAGCGGTTTGGGGAGGAGATAATATGTAATATTATTATAATATGCATTACACACTGCCGACTCACTACATCGCATACACCATAACTGTATGTATGACCATATAGGCTCACATCAGGGGTGTAAAATGTATAAGGGAGCGCACAAATAGTTTAAGTCCTACTCGATCCCGTTGGGGGATTTACTCTTCACACCCCACACCCGCCATAACCACCCACTCAAACACCCTCGATTACCCATCGACTTATAACGCAGTACTTCACATTGCGATGTACCCATAAACTTCTTAACTTCCCAGGCTAATGAAGGAAACTGTTTTTCTGTGTTCTCAGGCGGATCGAGCTCGGCGAACGAAGAGAACAGCCGACCCAGCACGCCACACAGCGTGGGCGTCAACACCGGCGGCACGTCGTCGCTGGCCGGCCACAGTCCGGATGGATGGTCGACCGGCGAGGACGGCGGCGGTGGCCGCGGACCCGGGTCGCCGAACCACCAGCGAAGGTTCGTTGGCAACTGCGGCGGCGGCAGCCGTTACATGGATCAGTCGGTGAACGCGGCCGTGTCCATGGACGACGATGACGACATGGCGGACGACGGTCCTGACGACGATGACGCCGGTAAAAAGGACCATGGAGGGTGCGGGGGTGGTGGTGGCGGTGGCGGTGGAAGTGGCGGGGCGGGCGGTAAGCGGAAGAAGAAGACCCGTACAGTGTTTTCCCGGAGCCAAGTGTTCCAGCTCGAGTCCACGTTCGACATAAAGCGGTACCTGTCCAGCTCGGAAAGAGCCGGGCTGGCCGCGTCCCTGCACCTAACCGAGACGCAGGTGAAGATCTGGTTCCAGAACAGGCGGAACAAATGGAAGCGCCAGGTGGCGGCCGAGATCGAGGCAGCCAACATGGCCCACGCGGCCCAGCGACTAGTGCGAGTACCCATCTTGTACCACGAGTCTAACCAGCAGTCGACCGCCGGCCACCACCACCATCACCACCATCACGGCGGTATAGCCACGTCGGTGGCAACGGTCGGCGGCGGCGGCGGCGGTGGTGGCGGAGGAGGCGGTGGTGGGGGCGGCGGTGGCAGCCGTGCACCGACGCCGCCGCACACGTCCGCGTCCACGCAGGCGTCCGCTTACCAGCCTCAGCAGCAGCCACCGCCTCCGCCGCCGCCGTCGCTGTTCTATCACCATCAGCCGCCGCCGCAGCACCACCACGCCGTCAGCACGTCCACCATCACGCACACCATGTCCACCAGCCCCAACGCGGTGTCCAGGGCGCCACTCACCGGACTCGTCTAATAATAATAATAATAATAATATTATTATTATTATTACGTTATCGCTGCAATACGCGTGACTCGCCGCCTCTCCACTTATTATTATCATTATTATTATTATTATTATTACTACCTATTATTATTCAACTCGCTCTCAGCCGTCTCCCGCGTGTTCACCTACCACCTTTTAATAATAATTTAACGTCGTATTCGTTGTGGATTGTCTACCAGTGGGTGCGTGTGGGTGCCCCGGATGTCCCCACCAACCAATCTGCATTATTTAAAGGCGCCGCATTACTTGCATTTTATAACCCGAGCGACGCGTCCGCGAGGAGAACAATCTCGAATGCATAGTACCCACGTCTTTCGTACATTTATAATCATTTCTAATACGTGAACCATCGCCAACTGTTTAGAAAGTGCCTTTCAAATCCGTACGTTTATCGATTTTGATTTCATCAGGATTTAATAATTGAAATGCGCCGCATAAAAGGACGAAGTCGCTAGTCCGATCGTCTTAAAATAGCGTGCGAAAACAACAGATTACCACAAAAAACGGACATTTCCACGCGGAGCTTTTTGTCTGCTCTCCTAAAAAAAGTCGACTTATCCTCCGGTAGTCTCTCTGCGCAGTTACAGCGATTCTCGTACACTTTGAGTTCAGATCAGTTATTATCTCAATTTAATACGATTTTCGTTCATATTATTGTAATTCACGATATTATTGTACTGCGATGTGTGGAGGAGGAGTCGACTGCTGTACTCGTAGGACCGCCTCGATATGTAATATTAGTCGCGACGCAATAATAATAATAATTTATTGTTGATCGTCAATATTAATATTACGGTGACGATAATTAGTCGTTTGAACAAAAAAAAAAAAACGTTTTTATTTTATATTTAATAATATTCAACTATTGTACATAATATAACGGGTGTGTAAAATTATTATTTATTTACGATCTTATCATTATTATTATTATTATTATTATTATTATCATTATACTAATTATGTAATATTTTATGTAAAGCCTCCGAAATCCAAAACGGGATACCCGCAGAGCAGTTATCCTTGCGGATGCCGACGTGTGTACATATATAAATAATTATAACGGTTTTTAGGATATAGCGACACTCATTTAATTTATTTTGTATAGACTACTGTAAGATACAGCCTGTAGATAATATTATTATTATTATTATTATTATTATTATTATTATATAAGAAGAAAATACAATTATTGTTGTTTGCAACATACTGTATAATATATTATGCGATCCGGAATTCGGGCCACGTGTCTTGCTATATTTATGTATAACGATGTGTATACTATGTATATTGTGAATTTTATTATTGTACCATAATAGCTAGCGTTTTATTTTTCCAGTTACCAAATATTATAAGAATAATATTATGAACCTACCTAATATATATTTTAATATTATTATTGCATAGTTCGCCTGTTATTGTTTTTATTTTATCGGATTTTTTACTGTTAATTTTTTTTTTTCAACTTTATTATTTCGAATTTAAACGAGGCCGAATTCCGATTGAAAATGTGTCATCCTGCTCTATATTATATATTGTATAGTGCGATGTTCAGTGAATAAAATATTTTACTCGTACCTACTGTCCTATACTATACGCTAGATAAGGTAAAAATCGTCGTTTTTCTGTAGGCAGTCAAAAGACGATTGGTTGGATCCTATAATACCACACACACGAACATATTATAAGAGATAACAAGTGTTATACCATGTAATATTACGCAGAATAATAATATTAAGTATGCTTTTTTACGTGCGCCTGATAAAATATTGAAATACAATAAATACGTTACATCGCCTGATCGATGTAATTAAAATAAGTGGGTTATCGTAACATCGTCGGGTACAGAAAAAAAAAAAATAATTTAAAGGAATTATACCCCACCCGGAGATATGGGGGTAGGCTAGATTCTTAGAAGACATTATATGCACAAAATTGAAAATAATAATTTCGGAGAAAAAAACATAATTGGTTAGTACAATCTATATTCACTGCTTAATTATGTGACACGAATTATGAAATTCTTATTATGATGTAATATAATCCTTTTCAATAAGCACGTCTTTATAAAAAATATGTTGTAAAACCAACATAAAAAAAAAAATAGAAATGCTGATCAGCAGTATAGTAAGTGGAGTAACCTATTATGTTTTCTAGGTAATAAGAACCTACAGGTAATATTATGATGAAAATGAATATCATAAATATTTTCATTGCTGTCATATTATGCGCATATTTCATTTAGGGGAGCACATGTTGTCAAGCTCTACGATTAACCGGAGATTAAAGTTTTAAAGGGTTTGTACTGCACGATCTTTAAATTAAAATTCATAAATTATTTCATTAAAATATAACATTATACTAATATTACATTCGTCGGATTTGTCCATCACAAGGGTCAATATTTTATACGAAAATACTTTAAAATATATTTTGTGCAATTATTGAAACACAATCCAAGTAGGAACGAATCACGAACGACGATTGAGTTTTCACTATATTTTATTGACATATAATTGTTTTTCAAGTCAAAATTATTTTATTAATTTTGATGGGTTACTCGACGAATACGAACTTATATATATATTTTTACCATTCCTAATTAATGTATATTTTAAACAACTCGGAGACTTAATCTTTGAATCGTCTCGGTTAATCGGGAAGTGGTTTTTCTCGGCCAAACACCGCAGGTGGTGTTCCGGGGTAGGGGCACCCTTGCAACTAAAACGTCAGTTTTTCGTGTGCGCCGCTGGTACACGTACCCATATATATATATACTAGTCGTCTGAGCGGGTTATCGCGCGTCGGGTGCAGCGAGGGCAACGAGAAATGCCTGCAAACAATCCGATTTAATAACAATAATAATAAAAATATCAAATCACGGGACGTTAAGCACACCGCAAACGGCGGTTTTATTCTCTTCCTTTTATAGGTTCTTTCGCGGACAGAGAGAGAGAGAGAGAGAGACAGACAGACACGTCAGACGAACTGTGTTTATACATTAAGCGGAGCGTGCAACGTACCTATGTATAAAAAAAAAAACCCAATAATAATATGTACCTATTGTATATTGTTGCCAACGATCGTCGTTCTCATTATGATATTTTTATTATTATTATTACTATTATTGTTATTTTGTTTTCCGAGGCATTGTAAACGGCAATTGGTGCGCGGAAAACCAACGTGCAGCGGAAGGATTGTCCGCTCGAGAACTACTGCGCGAGTAGGGTGTCAGGTTACCAGCCGCTTGGTTGGAACTAGGAATACCACTATTATGGTACCTCGAGCGGTTACTCTGTTTCGTTCGCGGTACACCGGACACAAACCTCGCGATGAAGACCTCGAAAATGTGTGAGGTCCCAAACGTTTCGTGTGATACGGAATAAATTTCGAGGTGTGAACTACGAATTGTCGGTGAAAAAATATTCAGAGCAAAGTGTATTGTGAGAATTTGTTGTTATTCTTATATAAAAACCTAAATATTTGCTACCGACTATTTTTCTAATCACTTCAATGCCTATATAATATAAAAAATTATAATATTAAAATATAGTAGAAAATCTATAGAATTCAAAATATTTACGATTTCGAGTCCAACGGCAGGTTGATTTATACCATCGATGGTATAATCGAAGTAGTATCGGACCATTTATACAACGACGAACCAAATTTATTTCCGTTAAAAAGATTCACAATATCGTAATACTCATTGTTTTTCGTCTTCATCTCACAATATAATTTTAACTACAACAACGTCTATGGGTTGTGTCGATTTATTAAAACATCTAATCTGTTTTCATATTATCTGAAGCTAAGAGATGAACCAGTCGACGTTTTGTGCCAAACAAACCATTAACCGATACTGTACCACTGAACCACTGGTATAGTATACCAGCATAATATTATTATGTTGAGTATTGATACAACTCTAAACGGTTAGACCTATATGGGTAGGGTGGTGGTGTTACACTATGGTACTGTAAACGGTTTGTTGGTGAGGGTGGGGTGAATCCCCCAACGGCAATTGCTGTCTGTAATTTAGCGATTCCCAAAGACAAAATATTAACGTTACAATAGAACGATATTGTAGACCAGGGGTCGGCAACCAGCGGCCCGCAAAGCAATTTTTGATGGCCCGCACATGGTGGTTAATTGTTGTGTTTTATTTTTGTACAATAAAATTTTTCATATAATTTTCAATATTATTTAATTATTTTTTCTTTATAAATAAAATCTAATCTAACCGTTATTAGCTAATGTTTATTCTATATAGTTATATAGTTAGCATTGTGTTGTAAAGTTCTTGCGTGTCAAGAAGTTATGAGTGTTGTTATTTCCTCAATAAATTTTATTCGAAAAAATGGTTTGGGTCATCGTCAATTTAAAAATTTTCTGGATGAAATTGAATCGGAATATGGCGACGTTATATATTTTACGGAAGTCAGATGGTTGAGTAGAGGTGCGGCACTTAAACGATTTTTTGATCTACGATTGGAAATAGAAATGTTTATGAATGAAAAAAATAAAATTGTTTCTGAACTATCAGATGAATCATGGATTCTCAAATTAGCATTTTTAACAGATATAACAACATTTTTGAATGAATTGAATATAAAATTACAAGGCAAAGGAAAATTACTCTCAGATATGTACACTGATATTAAATCATTTCAAGTAAAATTAAAACTATTGTACAATAGTACACATTAATTTACAATTTAACAATTTATTATTCAATTAAATTTTGTCTTAAAAGCAATTTTTTCCAGTAACATTTGTGTTTTTTTACTCTCATATTTCTATGTAAAATAATCAAATATAATAGAAATACAATTATAATTAGTAATATATTATAAAATGTAATTTTTTTTTTAATGTGGCCCTTGATGAACAATTGAAAAAAAATATGGCCCGCGTGGTATAAAAGGTTGCCGACCCCTGTTGTAGACGACTACTCAATAATTATCTGGAAAAAGTGCTTATACGAGAAAATGTATTCCAAGACGACCTTCTGTCGACGGTTCACACACAGTTTGGGACCCGTCATGTGGACCCTATAATATGTATGGACGTGTGCTGTACAAATAAAAGAAACAGACATTTATTTTAGATTTTCAGCCTTTGCGGACACTTGTTTGCAGCAACCAAATAGACCTGCGTGAACACTTAACAACTTTTTAAATTATTAAAGAATTATAAAACAGTGGAACTCCCATATCATTACGATGCGAACTTATCATTTACAATCATTTTCAAAACAGTTTTCTGTTACACATCGAAATATGTTCGAGAACCAAACCAACGAATGAGAACCTGTAAATGTATTTAATTCTATTTAACGAATTATTACTACCTATCATAAGTGATTTCTACTCATTTCTTTATTGCCCATGAGACTTTGTACAACGCGGAAACTTCACCGAATTATAGAGAAACCTAACCTACCTGCACTTTCGAGTTGTCGGTTGGCGCTACACGCCGAACTACGGTTCAATACGCTAATAATATGTTTTTGCTTCTTCTTCGCCCTAGATTCTTTTCAGTTTGAAGCTTCACATTTTTCGCGTTTTCATTCCGCCTCGAAATAATAATATGTTTTTACTTTTTCGACACATTTTTAGCTCGCCAGCCAAATCAAGACAAAAACGGATTGTCTCAAGTTATCTTTTTTATATTGTATGAGACGTATATATATCTTTTTCGATAAACACTATTCCGGAAAAAAATAAATGTTTTGAGTGGCCTTGTCAGCTATCGATCGAAATTTCCTGTCTATATAATATTTTATATAGTCAGCATACATATGTGCACTTTGAAAAAAGTATGTATAGTAAATTGTC